AATGTACTTTCCAATTCATTGCCCTGTACTTTGCAACGTTCTTACTAAGATATACTTTTACTCCAGCCACCTTTGGAAAGGTAAGACCTCTCTAAGGAACTGGCTGAATTACATTCAAACTTTCAGTAACAGCTGAGTTGTTAGTTGTGCTCTGGTTCTGTAATATACTCTGTTAATGGTCTCAGCTGGAAAGAACCAGCTGAATTAAAGTCCAGTAGAAATATGATTTTTTTTCATGTAGACAAAGCAAATGTTGACTAAAAAAAACAAAACACAAAACCAAAAAGAAATAGAAAACACTGTCCTGCTCAAGGCTGGTTGTATACAGTAAATGTAAATTGATTAATTTATGATTCTTTATTGTTGGAAAAAATTGTGACCAAATTAATGGAACTGTTCATCACAGCATCTGCTCTACAAGTTTTTTCTAAAGGGATGAGGCTTCCAACATTTGGGATGTGGAGAAACAAGCATACAGTGAAGAACTTAGCCTCAGTATTGTATTTTTCCTTTTTTCTTTTACCGAAGTATGTGATGATCCTTATGGAACTCTGCTATGTGCAGTGGGATGCAACAAGTCAAATGCACAACATATATGAAACATTTTCTGAACCATTTGTAAGTAATTTAAGGAACACACTTAGAGAGTATCGTGGGGGGGCTTTTGTCTGTTTGGCTTTCAATGCAATAGGGTATTTACTTATCTCTCTGATGAGACTGCCACATGTGAGGATAGAGTATGGGGTACAAGTACGTGTATGTTGGAGTTTAACTTTTTTAAAAACTGGGGTTTGCTAGACACTGGGGTTTCCTTGCAGATAGGAAAGGGTAGTAAAAACCCCCTCTTTTTTCCTCAGCAGAAAAAGTTTTCCACTTAAGGAGTCCTCCAGGTTTAGTTTTCTAGTAAAGGGCAAAAAAATGCCCGCAGTACAGAATTACCTCAAATTGGCTTGTTTGGTCAGCCTTGGCATGATACAATACATACACTATCCTTCTATCTTCTAGCTCTTTCAAGAGTAAAAATTCATTATAATTTCTTCCCCAAAAGAAGTAAGTTTCATGAAGGTAAAGAGGCTTTGCTAATGAGGTGTAATCAAGTTCCCTAAGCCTTAACTGCTTGGTTGCAAATATTGCTCAGGTTTCTTAAAAGGAAGAGTTTAATATGTAACTAGTTACCTGTTATAAATGAAAAATAAAACTAATTAAACTTTTGAGTTATTAGACAAAAATGCCAGCACTACTTTAAAAACTGAAGCATTTTCTAAATAAATACCAAAAGGTGGAAGCATCCTACTAATGTCAGCTCATATTCAAGTTCACACATAATCAGCCAATACAGTACCGTGATGATTTGAAAACTGATAAAATGATGATGCCCATTGCTAAAAAATGAAGTGCTCAAAAAATCCTACCCATACTTTTAATAAAACACTATTCTTTTTCCCCAGCTTTCAAAATTTGCTAGCAAACCCAGAGGTAAAGTGGCGCTTTAAGATTCACTAAAACCTCTCCCTGAAGCTCTAGACTGATTTGTTCTTTTGACTTTATCTTCAGGGCTTCTGTAAGTAGTCTTTCTTCTGAGAGCCATTAAGACTTGGTAGGTTTGTTGTTCTTTTCTGAGTTTAACCCATCTAAATATTTCTACTTTGCTTTTCATTCTATATTGTTTGTGAACCATGATTAAATTTTGTAGATCATGTTGTTCCCAGGCGTATGTATACATAGATGTAATGATCCATGTTTCATTATAGATGTATTTCCTCAATTTAATTAGTAATTTAGTTAACACACTTAAAATTACTGACCTGTCTTCTTCTTTTATTTTGAATAGTGCTGATTATTGCATTTTCATATATATTACCTTTTATGTGTTTAAAAAAAAAAAAAGGGAAGTTCTGTGATTCAGTGAGCATCAGTTATAAGTATTTGCAAGTAGTAGAAGGGCAAGTTTGTCCCTGGGCCTACACTCTCCAACAGACTGGAATCATTCTGTTCTCATTTAATCTTATTTTCTTTAATCTCTGTTTCATAGTGAAAATGTGGTACACCAATCAAAGTACTTTTGGCAAGTTCTTTGTTAACTTACAATTTCTTTGACTTTTAGGAGAGCTCATGCAAAACAGCCTCAATATTTTATTGGCTGGGGTTTTGGGGTGGGGTGTGTGTGTGGTTTGGTGTGAGTAAATACCACACAGCATGTTTCCTTTCTTATGTGTTTACAGACATCAAACTAAACAGAAATGTGTTTTTATTCTAATAGTACCCTTCATCAAGCAATTGAAGCAAAGCAAAAAGGCATAGGGACCTATACCTCTGTTCTCTTACTACCAGTCATCAGCCATATTCCAGCTAAAATTGTGATGTTTCAAAATGGCCCACTCTCTCCCCAGCTGACCATCCAGGAGAAAGATATGGGATAGATGGATACAACCCTCTGTAGAGAGCTAAATTTGCACCTTGGTTAGAACACTCTGTAGGTAGGATACTTACTTTGGTATAACACAGGCTTTTTTATAATGCAAACATGTAATATTTCTTTCATTAAAAAAAAATCTTTAAGGTTTTTGGAAAAGGAGAAAATCTAAAGTATAAAATGATAAAAAGGGGAACAAGATCCATTCTGACAGTCTGAGGTGGGATTAGCTTTAAAGTATTTTAACTGTCCAGCCCATCTTCAAAGGTTTCTTGGTGTTGGACATTCCAAAATCACTATAACAAAAACAGTTCATTCCAAAGCACTGTTTTTTCCTTAGGAAGCTGTCTTCCTCTTACCCTCCTGGAGTTGAAACCCAGTACTAGTTGTCCATTATGCTATGGATGTAAAACCATTTGCTTTCAGGGGGTTCTTTATAGAGTTGATGCCTGCAAGTTGAGCAACCATAGTTCTTTTCAAGTGTTTTTGTACCATGAGGTATTTTCCTGAGCATTCTGCCTAGCCATGGTACCCAAAACTAGCCCCTGGTAGTTAGCAAGGTTTATCAGTATGAAGTATGCAGCTGAGTATATTGTTAATCTTTCTTGTAGGAGTGTGGTCTTGCCAATTCATGTTCAGCATGTGATGCTTTATATAACAAAGTGACAAGTGTAGATTACTACAGTAATTTGAGTCATTTGTTTAATACAAATACATTTTTTTCACAACAATAAGCAGATACATTACTTTTGTTTCCCTTGCCTTCTGTCTTTCAGGACACATTCACCCACAAAAACATACACATTTTCTTTTGCAAAAGAGAGGGAGTTAAACAAGTAACACAAACTTGTAGTTCCAAATATTATACAGAGTAAAATATTTTCATCATAGAGTTTCATTGCATTATTAGAAATTATAAACTGCTCTGGTGATGGGGAATTACTATTTTTTCTACACAACAAAAATAAACACTGCCTTCAGATAGAACAGTGTGTCAATGGCACAGTTGGACTAGTTGAGAATCTTTGTAATGCTAATGATAGTCAATAGTAGTATGTTTATGCCAGTTTGAAATAAACTTTTTAATGCTTGTAACTTAGGAACAGAAATGCATGTTCACAGGTTAGGAGTATCTTGTTTAAACTTCCAGATCTGACCTGACATCAGATTATTTCTGTCTACCTTCATTAAAACTTCATTTAAACAAGAATGCAGATTAAGCTCTACTTGGTAATGGCAGCTCAGAGCAAGGTTCTGCCCTTGTGGGTTTAGCCAGGCCAGATTCCACTGTCGGCTTATTTGCCTGAGATGTACTGTGGCTACTCAGGCAGTTTGATATGGTTCTTTATTTGAGATGTCATCTTTATTACAAAGTCTTAGTCTGGATCTTAAAATCTTCAGTATACTGGTTTTTTTTTTGGGGGGGGGGGTTTGTTTTGTTTGTTTGTTTGTTTTTTTAGGATAGAATCCCATGGTTATTAAATTAATACAGAAAATTGTATTTTGTGTGGGAATGAAAAACTGCTTGTTGATAAGCATCTGTCTAGTGTCTGTATTTGTGCACTTTCCTTATTAATGAAGACCTGAATCCAAAGCATAGTGGCATGAATAGCTCCTTGCCCTCTTGAAGAGGTTGGGCCCTGCTTCAGAAACAAATTGTAATCCTGCATGAAATCCCTGAAAGCTCTAGAATGTGCACTGCACATGAGAAGAGAATGGGATGCACGAGCTAATACTGTAATACTTTAAAAGGTTAAAGACTGCTTCAAGCCTGCTGAAACCTCTCTTGCTGATGCCTTGGCTCATTGTCCATCTCAGCACAGTGTCCCATTTTGCTCTTTTCCTGCTGTCCACATTAAGTATTTCAAAGGGAGAGGAGAAATTTCAACTGAAGTCTTCCTCCATTCTTTTCTTTATTTCACTGTAAACTCAGTTGCAGATATAGCTGAATGCCAAAACAGTGTTTTGAAGGGGAAGGCATTAGTATAAAATTTTGCACATTGTTTGTTCTGTTGATGACTCTTCAGTGTGTTTTTAAAAATGTACAATAATTTTGTTGGATGCTACCATTCTGCTTTTGGAAGCCTCAGGTATTTTCTTCTTTGAGTTAAATTTTATACTTGTTCAGTTTTGAAAAAAAACCTAATGTGAATTAGTCTCCTTTATACTGAAAAATAGGGATAAAGTACTTTCAATGGGGTCATGATGCTACAGCAGGTCAAAGAACAAGCTGCCTAGAGGAGCAGGGTTACTGTTACTGAGTAAGAAACTATTATTGCAGAAAGCTCTTAATTATCCTTCATAATAATGTTATCAGTAAATTTTGCTATGATTCATCAGGTTTATTGTAAACATCCTTCCACACATTCAAATGCAGTTAGTAATTTTAAGTGTCTAACTTCAGATATCATGAGATTTACCTTTTAGCAAGTAGCTTTTACACTTTTTGTAAACCATGTTGTTGCAGACTGTCCTAAACATTGGCAGTTATGAGGCATTTGTTAGTACTGTTGTCATTCTCTGGAGACCTTCTGAAGTCTCCTCCACGATTTTAAATGGAGAAATGGTTTCGTTTCTCTTGTATGTCATTTCAAAGGAGAAACTGCTACAATTGTGATCTGCAGTTGTATAATTGGGAAGTTATTTTATATAAAAATTGTGTGACATTACATAAAAAAAACTTAACATTAATCCAACTCACCTGGAGTAACTTACAGCAAATACTGACATATGTTTAGGATCCATTCAAGCACCAAGATTTTGTGTTCTGTCTAGCCAGATGACAATCACTCGGTTACAGCCAAATTACATGAGCAATTGCAATACAAAAGAACATAATGATCTGATTAAAGACACGTTTCTTGCTAATACTGCTACTTCCAGTATTCCCTGAGCCTTAAGCCAGTAAACATTACAAAGGAATACCTAGTATAAAAACTCCAGTACATCTTAGGCCCAGCATGCTGGATATTTGCAAGAACGGGATGATTCTGCTTTTTTATTGTAAATACTTGAGTATATAAAGAGAAAATTTACCATTAGAAATGTCAAGCCTTCTGTAGAACTCTAGTTTACTTGTAATTGTGGCAGATACCCCCCTTTGAAAGAACTTGTGCTCTCCTATCCTCTTTACTCTGGTTCTTTATCTGCTTCTTTGCTTTTCCTCCTTTACCTAAATACAAGATTAAAAAAACCCAAAACTTTTAACTTTTTTTTAAAATATACATTATGTTCAGGCCCCAGACTCGTCCACACCAGTACATAACTACTCCAAGTCAATACTTGCGCTTGCGTCCTGATGGTAAACACCACAGGTATGCAAAGTGAATCACAAAATTGGTTCTTTATATATAATATACTCTGTTGGACAGAGTATTATATCTACATTCATTTATCTATTGCACCTTTTAATGCTATTCACACTTCATTTTTATATGACAATGCTCAAAACACAAAGTTAACAAATGAACTGTTGAACCTCTAACACCTCAAGTTTACCTGTACAGAAGGAAACCATTGATTTGTTTTTTTCAGCCAGGAAGATAAAAACTAACTTTTCAGAAAAAGGAGATAAAAACTAATATTTTCTTAAGATATGTAGGTAGGTATGTCCTCTTACATCTACCTTTCTGTATCGTGAATCTTAAAAAATAAAACCAGAAATGGTTTCCATCTTCAGTATGTGTCATCCTTTTTCAGACCTGTGATAATAGTCAATTTACTTTTGTGTGATCGTGCAGTAAACTGCTTTTTTTTTCATTTACAATTCTGCCTCAATACTTTGCATATCAAATTTATGTCTAATTCACTCTTATTAGTAAAATAAACAGCAGAGCTGCTCTTTTAAATGCATATCTACATATTATCTTCTCCCTGTACTTATGTTGCTGACAGCTGTATTTAAAAATATACCTGTAAGCTTATGGAGACATGAGCTTATACTGGTTGGAATTGCTTACTTTTCAAAAATACAGGCACAGTTAAAATATCCTTAGTTGACACAGCTGCCCAAGCATTCAGGCTCCGCTACAGTCACATGAACGTGCGTTGCCGTATGAAGCTTAGAGAGTGAGTGCTGTGATAGAGCTCTCTATACTTGGATTTGTTAATGCATATGATTGGATTGGTACTCTTTGAAGCATATATTTAAAAAGATAAATAGCAAATACAGCTTTTAGTAGTAAACAGATTAAAGGTTTTGGTTCTCTGTAAACAAAGTTATTATATCAGGTCTGTTTCTACTTTCCCATCCATCCCACTTAAAAAAAGAAAAAGTACTTTTGTCACATTGGTTTGGCATTGTCTGTTAAACCTGTTCTCTATTGCACTTTCTACACTTCCACTTTCACTACACTTGCTGACTAGTTGCGAAACTACTCCACGAACGGTCACATTCCATACAGTAACAAGTTGCTTTGCTGGATCCAGTTTCCTTGTAGGGTTTTGGTTTTCATATGGGGTTTTTTTGTTGTTGTTTTTTGTTTGTTTGTTTTTTTAACTGAAAAAAATGCAAAGTCATTTCTACTTTCTTGTAGCATTTGTAGTGTAGAATACACTACACCTTACACTGCAAAGAAGAAACAATGCTGTCTCTGTCAAACTGGCATGACCTCAGATGTCGTTCCTTCTGCTGCTGGCTGAGAGTTTGTACCTGTCTGTGCTACTGGCACCACCACCGCATCCTTGATGTCTGAGCTCTGAGTGCACAAAGAATTTTTCTCCTCCAGTTTTTTGATGGTGTCTGGGCAGTTCTGAACAAAGATCACTCTGTTGTAGGCTTTCAACCTGCGCCACAGCTGCACATAAACCTTACACTGCACATACATAAAGACCAGGCCCCCTGTGAATCCAATGGCCACTACAACGAGTTTTGTCCAAAATGGCCATTCAAGGACACCTGTGGAATAGAAACTATATTTATTACCACCATTACACATTGAATATCAAGTGCTGAATTTCAATCAAATGTACTGAAGCCACTTGCTAAGAATCCCCAGGTATGTACACACTATTGGGGCAGTTATGGCTCAAGTAGAAAACAGAAGGGGCTTCCTATTCCATAGACCAGCCAAGAAACTGCCTCCCACTTCTGACTTCACCACAATTTGGTCAAATAGGAAATGCAAGGGCTACTCTCACAAAGTAAGCATAATGCTCAAGACAGCAATTAAGAGATTTGCATGGTATACTTCCATAAGGAGAACAAAAAAAACCCAAGCCTTTAAATAGTTTGAGGTACTCATTTAAAACAGGATTTTTAAACTTATAGAATATTAACAAACACTACTAGTATTATTCTGGGCTTTCAGTTTTTCTTCTCCTCAAAATATGTTTATAAAAAGTGTTTTTTCTCCAGTCTTCACTGTCTTTTTCCCAGCAATTCTCATTTAAAGAGAGAAAATGGAGAAGAAAACAAACTATTTACATGTTTCTTCCTTCTCCCCCCAAATACATGTTTGCTTTTGTAAAAGTACTCCCCTGTGACAAGCAAATTTTGGGACAAGAGAGTTCTCTTCGCAAACACTTATTTTTGCACGTAGCTCCAAGGCATCTCTTTGTCCACTTTTAGTGTAAAAAAATCAGCCATTACATTTGGCAAACACTGAATTCTATACAAATCATAAATACTTTTTAAGCCTACCAAGAATAATTAATGTGATTCTTTTCCATTATGTATAACAAAAAAAAATTCATGTTAGCTGTTTTGTTATGAAAATTCAGCTAATCCACAGAAATAGCTTCCCCGTTGTAATAAGTAGGGTGATGTACTCAGAAATAAAAGTTCAAACCCATTCCTAGTACTGTCCTCAGGGCCAGGTTTTTCAGATAAAAAACAGGGTTATCCATTTCAAAAGAATCCAAAGCAAGACTTTGTAGTATATATTCATCTGTGACTTATTGAGCCTTGTTGCTTATTTTCGTCTCATAGGCAAGAAAGGCAAGCATCAAGAGTATCATCAAATATTTATCTAACTAACAAGGCACAAAGCTCCACCTGTTTTGTTTTCCATGTTAACTTCAGAATATAGAACAAAGTTAGAGAGACCTTTGCTCCCCTACTGTGCTTGAAGTCAGTTCAGATCAAAACTGAAAAGTTTTTTATCATCATGATCACATTTAAGACTAAATTTAAGACCAAATAGACTTAAGACTTGAAATGGAAAACAGTAGTTCAGTTTATCATATATTTTCCACATATGCTAAGTATGGCCCAAAAAGAAACCTACTTACACTAAACATGGATTTTGTTACATATGTCCAGTTGGGCTTTCAGGATCTCCACAGATGGAGACTCCACAGCCTCTCTGTTCCAGTGTTTAACCATCCTCACAATGCACACAACTGGAACATGGACATTCACAGTGAAATTCTATTTGAAACGACACAGGAATGGCTTTCCATGCTTCTTAAGTTCCACATGAAGGACTAACACAACTGGAACACGGTCTCTTGGAAGTTTGTATTAGGAAGCTTGTTAATGAAAAGGCTCTATCGTGTTTTACTTGCTATCAAGGTTCAAGGGAGTAATATAAATAAATTGCTATTTTAATGACCTGAACTTGCACCGAGCTGTTTGAACTTGACTCATCGCTTTGCCTGAGCTTTAGAAATACCTACATAATAGGAGATTAACCTAGCAAGAACCAGCAGGCTAGTTAAGCTGTTGTAATGATTACACAAAATAGAGTTCTCTCTGCAGGGGCATAACATAAGCTTTTAATGCTGATGCATTCAGAACTTCTGCATTAAAGCATTTGATGTAGCCATTTGTCTGTGAGCTATTATTTAAGAACAGAGTGTGACTGGTTATATAGCTGCCTTGCAAAGCCAGCCACTGCATTATCAACAACACCAAAGAAGGTAAAAGATACTTACCATTATCATTGCCTTGTTTAATTTCTTCAGCAGTTCTATCAATTAAAACATACAATGACCAAACAACACAGGTAATTGCAATTACGTGGAATGTGACTGAACACACTATTTTCCTCCTCTCACTTGTTGTCATCTGTAGTTTCTCCCACTGTAATAATAATTAAAAAAGAGGAGTTAAAAAAATCAGACCTGTAAAATTTTGCAATAAACTGACTAGACTGTTCTGGCTCTTTCTGCCAAAAACCCAAGCAGTAATAAAATTAACAAATCCTTTTATTTTGGTAATACACATTACAGGACTATGTGCATTGTCACTCTAAAATTCACAATCATCTCATTTTCACAGATTCAGAGGAATGAAGAGTTCTATTTCTGTCTGCTTGTGAATGATATCTAAAGTAATTTCACTGCAGTACAGCCATAACATGTTAATAAACAGGTAAAAAGATGAATATTTATTTTAAATTTGCGCTTCTGGTGATGAGACAAGAAAAGCCCAAACATTTGTTTGTAGTACTTATTAAAATTCGAGGAACGCAGTTATGTAACAGCCTTCCCATAAAAGCACAGGAAATGCAACTCTATTGAGGATTAAATTCAATAAACTTGAAAAGATGATTATGTGGAAATAATCGTACATGATAGCACTCAGCCTCAATAACGCAAGGAGGATCTTCCAGGCATATGTTTCTGAATTATGGTACTAGATCCTATCTTAGTTTAAAGCTATTTTAAGATTAAATAGGCTATTCCCTGCATTTGAACAGTGCAACTCTTGAGGCAATATTTTCTAATCTTGCTTGTGAGGGCATAATTTTTTTTTTAGCCCTTCTTTAAAACAAAACCCTTCTCTACTAAAACATTTGTCTTTGAAAACAGATGAAAGAATATGGCATTTAAAAGCAAAATGCCCCTATTCCAATGAATAATCTCGGAGTCGGACACTAGCATCTGAGGAAGGGAACCAGTACAAAGCACGAGACACGAGTGCCACCTCCCTGCGGCCCTGGGAACACCAGAGAGAGCTGGGCTCAGATCAGTGCCCAGCCTTAGCGGCTTAAGGCTGGGACAGAAACTTCGGCCACTGCAGAGCACTGAGGCAGCATACATGTACTTTGAAGGCACAAGTTTAGCTATGTTTTCCTTGTTTAGGTTTTTTTATTGTTTTGGGTTTTGCCGGCTGTTTACTTTGTTTGTTTGTTTTTAAATGTTGTTTCTGGGAAAAAAACAAATTTTCTTAAATTCTTTATGGTTGGAGATGGCATCTAAGCTACATGGTCAGTCTTTCACCTGAACCAATATGGTCATTCTATCCAGAACACTTTTTGCTGTCAGGTCACGTTTCGAAGGAGCACAGTTGCAGTAAAGCTGAGGGGTAAATGCCATGTCACTACGAGAAATAACTCTCAGAAATACTTCTTCCTGCCACTGGTTTTAGAGCAGGACATACCAGGACAAACAAATTTCGGTTTCTAATGGCAGCTGAAGCTTGCATGTGCCTGAGCTGTTGCCTCAAAACATAGTCTCTAGAACCTTTCCTAGCCCTTGCCAAAATTTAACGAATAATAGAATATTTTGAGTTGGAAGGACCTCTGATGATTTTTTTGTGGCTCTCTTCTGAACTCACTCCAGCATGTCCTGGGGACCCCATAGCTCGATGCAGCATTGCAAGTGGGGTGTCATGAGAGCAGACTAGAGGGGCAGAATCACCTCTCCTGACCTGCTGATCACACTTAATGAACACAAGGTTTAACTGCTTAGAAAAACGGAAGCACTTCCTACGTAATATACAGAGTCAGAGCTGTCAGTTTATTTATCAGCTGAGACATTTCAATTTCTGATACATTGACTTAGGAGTGAAAACTTGCAGGGGTTTGTATGGCAGTCTGAAAAAATAGGAGAATTAAATTAATTTTTTTTTTTAAGTAATAAAACCCCAACACTTTATATTCATTGTGGTTCATGTAGGTAATATTCAGTGGCCAGCCAGAAAGTCTGAGGCATTATTATCACAGTCTTATATTATTACAGTCATCGGGTTACACTGCATTTGACCTGGAGACTTTCATCCTTTCTGCAGTGAAAATTCAATGCAAGTCTTGCAAAAGACTCTTTCCAAAGAAAGAGTTGTCTTTGTCCAGATGGAAAAAAGGGTTTTACCTTAGCCCCTCACTTACCTATGGATGCTTTGTAAGAGATCAACATTGAATATAAAGAAGAATGAATTGTTCTTAAACAGAACTTTTCTGTCATCTCAACCGTGGTGCTACACTTTTTGGTATACTGGAGAGAAGTTTCTGTGCAAGATTTTCATTGTCAGTTATATGTGCAGTCTCATTGTAGCCATTTTATGCTCTAACAAACTCAAAAGCCTCAAAGTGTTGACTTAATGCCCAGTCAAAGACAATTGCTGGTCCTATGAGTCTAAATGTAAACATTTTGCAGGTGGAAGAAAACCAGACAAAACCAAATGACCAACAAGCAGGACAGGTAAGTAAAGGAACAAGCTCACAAACTTCTACTGAGACTTACAAGAAAGTATATGAGGAGAGGGAGCTAGCAGAAAAGGGTTAAAGCAGGCCTTTTTGCTAACATCCCATGATCAAACCTAGCCAGAAAGCAAGCCAAGGCCTACTGGACTCTCCTTCCTCTAACTGGCCCCTTTTCTTCTCCCACGAGACACTCTGCCTGCCTGCCTGCCTGGGTATTCTATCCACACGCGTATTTACCACCCCAGAAATAAGCTGGGAGAGTAGAGACTGGGAGAGGCCACCATCATGGTTATGGAACTGGAAGACACTGCAGAGTACCTTGTACTCCCAGACTGGGATACAAGAAAGGAAAAAGGTCTAAGGAGAGACTCTGTCTCATATGGCAGCATTTAACAGCTCTTAGTGTGTCCCAAAGCTGTGTCTCGGTTTTGTCCTGCCCTAGCTGCAGTCCCGTCCCAAAGCTGTGTCTCGGTTTTGTCCTGCCCTAGCTGCAGTCCCAGTTCTCTCAACTACAGTCGTGATGAGCTGAACTCAGAAGGGGAAATACAATTAAACTTTGTGTTGTACTCCTGGTGATTCCAGTGGTAGCTGACATAACTTTCCTGTCCTACTCACATATTTTAGATTGGCTGAACAGAGAGTACTTACTGTGTGACTCCTGTCACTCTGTACTAAATGAGTAATGTTAGTACATGATCCAGCAATTTATGTTGTCTTGGAGCAGAAAAGTGCAATTCACTATTTTAGGATTTTTTCAATAGCCTCATATTGAAAATTTTTACAGCCCAGGACTTGATACAGCCTGAAGTTGAGTGGGGAAGTTTGGCAGGTGCTACCTTTCATGTCACACAGCGCTTTAATGCCTCCTTAACCACTGATAAATTCATCCCTGCTGTGTTTAGAAGCTTATGCAGTTCTCATGGCTTTCCACATTCGTGATAGCAAGACAAAAATAAATTGCATCATGTTTTGTTATCTTCATCAGTGATCTAGGAAAAATGCAACCATCAGGTTGATGACACTGTAACATGCCATGCACAGAATATAAGATGCCACCAAGAACAGAAAAATAACAGAAAAGTAAGTACACAGATGCAATTTTTTTTTGAAACTTACATGTTAATACACCTAAGGTGCTCTAGAGACTGTAAGGAGAGAAAGAAATGGAAGACTAACAGCCAGAGGAGACATTTATAATAATTTGCAAATTACTGAGTCACTAAACTGTTAGACAAACTAGTTTTTGCACAACCCCCTAGGAAGCATCCCTTCACTGCTGTACATCCAATTGTCACCACCCACAGGTTCGTTAATCCTGGCAGCAGTACCAACATTGACTGGAAATCATCACAGATGCAGATGGTTTAAGGTCCTGCAAATGCAAGCAATCGCATGAATATCATTAGGCTTCATAGAACAGGTGTGCTAAAACACTTTGTAACATCTAACAACAATCAAAAGACTTTTTACACAAGTCACCAAACAAATCCAAAGTGTAACGATATGTATCCTCAGCAGAAAGCTTGGAATATCCTCAGCCCCCTTTTTATTTTCCGAATAAGCTTTCCGAACATGACACTTGCGCTGTGCTCTGCAAACCACTGGAGGGTGGTAGCACACTGTCTGCCTGCCTCAGAGGTTCCTACCAAGAAGCCAGAATGAACTGCCAAAGGAAAGAAGCTGGATTGTAAATGTGATCAGAAACACACCTCCCACCCCAGCTACTACTTACAACTACTTCTAAAACACGATGTGCACCTCAGTCTGAACTCCTATGCTTTACTGCCTGAGAGGTTTGGAATAGTCCTGAAAGTGGCAGCTGTAAAACTGTACCTTGTTCTTGGTTTCTACCTCGGGTTTTTCTTTTGTTTCTTAAAAATTATGTCACTCAGAAACTTCAAGAGAACAGTTACTGATTTCATAACCCACTCTTATAATTACAAAATGTAGTCATGAGTCTTCTGGGGAAATAAAAAAAATTAAAAAGAAAAAAAACCTAATAACATACAGGGAACTTCTAAATCATATGTAGCCAGCCACTTCCCTTTCTTGTAATGTAGTTTGAGAAAATCCCTGATATTTATTTTAAAGGATCACAATTTGCCTCCTTCCATGTCACTTCTAATAAAAGCTTGATTAACCAATATGTAACAAATAAATATGGATATTTTTTAGTATCTTCTGAAAACATTGCCTATGAGTATGGGTATGCTGCTTCATATCCTGGATTCGAACACAGCCTCTCTTAACAGAAACAAAATTGCAATTTTAATTCCCTTCTATACATTAAGCTTTCTGCAAAGTGGTTTCATGATGGCCCAATGCAGAACCGAAAGTTTCACACTGCTCACGCAAAAGCTTCACACTGCTCACACAAAAGCTTCACACTGCTCACACAGAAGCTGTTCCCACACCTCACAGTGGCACTCTGCAAACTCTGCTGCTTGGGTTTCTTTTCCCCACTTCCACATTGTAGATTTACTGCCTGCCTGCCCCCATACACCACTTTGTGTCCACATGTTGCCTCCTGCTGCTGGTTATCTTCTGTCACACTGGCCACAGTTTTTTGTCTAGACAAGATTTCGGGAAGCAACTGCAGAACCACTGCAGGTTTTCAGATTCACACCTCTACAACTGAAGGTCTCTTTCTCCTGCA